TTGAGAGCATATAAATAATATACCAAATAAAATCAGAAAAATGAGATATAATCTCCCCCACCCCCTAGTCTTTCACCTCAGACATCTTTTTCAAGATTGATCTGGATCCCCTGAAATGGCAAAAAACGACGAGCTTTTTCGTTCTTGGCGTAGTTGTGTAAAAATTTCATGCAAATCCGAGCAGTACTTTCAAAGACTACCAGACAGACCGACAGAAACTAATGACCTAGATTTAGAAATTTTTCGCAATTACTAGTAGGAAGTAAAAACTCCAAAAAGCTCTGGGGTGAGTGGGTATATATTAAAACCGGCATCTATGCAAAATGTCAAATTCTTATCCTGACTTATGGCGTTTCCTGCTTTCCAGCTCCGCTGTTGTCAAGTTGTTTAATCTGTACCTACTATAGTTAGTAGGTATTATATCTAGTATAATGATTTGTAAACATGTAGATTTATAGGTCCCCAAACCTCTACACTTTTCACAAAAGGATGTTTTAGGCCTGAAGTCTGACTAGGTACTTTGCCTTACTGAACCTGGTAGCAAGCTTTCTTATGATGGCTCTGGTAAAGTTTTCCTCACTACAGAAATAAAACCTACTAATGTAAATGTGCATTCAAAATACTAATGCCGTGGCCGTATATAATTAGAGAAACTTTAAACTTCCTGTTTATCGTTGATAGAAGTATAAAATGGTGTAGGCATGTAGAGCTACATACATACATACATACATACATACATACATACATACATACATAAATACATACATACATATATTGGTCCATCTTGTAAAAATTTTCATTGGTACAAAGAAATCGAAAGTCCGACGGCAGAAGGCTGCTATGATATAAAAACATGTACCTGGTGAATATTGAAAGTTCAAACTTTTCAATATCTAGGAGAATCAAAATGGCCAAAGATAATTGCGGAACAGGAATGATTGGAAATAAGAAAGATAGGTGTTGGAGCTGGTACCTTCGTGCCGAAGCTAAAGATTAAAAAGCCTAGGAAGCTGGGCATCGATCTTCCAGGCAGAGGGAAATGAAGTCCGTCTCATATGGATACCCGGACACACAGGTCTAGAGGGAAACGAGACAGCTGACACTCTGGCAAGGAGTGAAGCTAGCACACCCTTCATAGGGCCTGAGCCAGCGATTGGGATCGCATACGATACGACTAAACAAATAATCTCCGCAGAGATGGACAGAAAGATCCATCAATAATGGGAAGGATTAGCAGGGTTAACCCATGCTAAGGTAACTATACCAATCTTGACAAGAAAGGTAACAGACTCTTTACTACGGCGGAAGGCGCTGATTGCAGACTGTGCTTGGAGGGAGATGAAACGGTCAGGCATGTATTGTGCAGATGCCCTGCAATTGCCAGAATCAGGTACAACACACTTGGAGACGTAGTACTCCAAGCAGAAGACCTGGAGGATATTTCTCCAAACAAGTTAATCGACTTCCCTAGGAGGTTGGAGCTAATGGGGGAAATATAAATAGATGTGAGTCACAATAGGCCAAAGTGTCGCAGTGGAGGATCGTTATTGATGCACTCATAAGAAACCTAACCCTAACCTAACCTAGAAACAGTGATCAAGTACTAAACTGTAAGTAGCACGACGCATCGTACACTCCTGATCCAACTGCTCTCGTTCTGCACGGTGAGATTCGCGCGTACTTACACACCACGTTAGCAGTGGCGTACGGCGGTGTGTTAACGATTGATTATCGTATTCTACCTGAAGATATCCAACTTAAGACTATATTCCCGCGCCCAAAAGAATATCCGAGATAAAATGAGACACCGCAGCGTCATCTATGAGAACTTATCTCAGCTGTTTTCCTATTAACTATATAAATTTTGAAAAGGTTAGTCCCTTATAAATGGCGCTGTAGCTACGTCTTCGCTTGTATATGCTCATATAGACATTTAGTTACTTTTGTTTGTTTTTTGTTATATGGCATTATATTGGATACTTCCGGAAGTAGCATATAAAGCAGTCTTCTTTTACATGGTCAGAGATAATTGAGCTTTTTCTCATTAGGAATTTAAGATGTACAATAGGTATATTGAATCGGTAGCATTGATTGTGTAGTAAATAGAAATGCAGATTGACCCTCAGAGACAATCCAGCAATTTGATATGTAATACCTATGATTAATGCCAGCTTTTCTGCTCTCGATGAAGCTTTGATGGTAATTGTGTTTCGGTCACAACGGTGACCTTCATAAGTATAATGACTTTGAGGCCACTGATCCAAGCAAGGAGGTTTGTTGTTCTTTATTATAGGTTAGTGACAGTATATCTGGCAACACCATCATCAATCTCTAGTGACCATGGTTTTTATAGGTCGCCCTTCGTTCAAAAGTCAAACCATTTTTGATGAACCAAAAGCAATCTGTAGCTTAGCTTACGGTCAACAGCTTGGGCAGTCAACACGTCGCGAACGCCACCTATGGGCGAATAGCTTAACGATCGTTTTCCTCTCATTTAAGATGCGATGGTTATAGCTTAAAGCTCCCTCTCGCACAGCACAAAGGACTTACAAAAAAAAGGAATATGGATTTTTATGAATTTCTGCAACCCCACCCCCGGTGTCTTAAGTCTACCTTGCCACACGCTAATGGTAATGGCACTAGGTTTCAGAGCAAGAAGTTTGTTTTGGGCAGGGGAAAGGTTTCACAGGCACTGTCAGATAAAAAAACTCGACAGGATTGCCTTGCCGGCCCTTCCTTCTCGAAGTGTGAGATTCTCCAGAAATGGCATACTCACTAAAACAGCATTCCTTTATAGTGGATAAAGTTGCGCTACGTTTTCATACCGAAGGCGATAGTCACGTATTCTCTATCGTATACATATATTTACGTACACAGATGTACATGTACAACTGAGGAAAATAAAAACTCACTATTTGTCTCTTGATCTATGTTTCTTCTCCCGTGCTGAGTAAAGACTCATCATTGGTTGAACATTAACCCATTTTTCCTCGCGTATACGCGTGGCAAAATTGTCAGCATAGAGCCTCTCATCGAGCGTCCGCTAAAGCTGATTAGGAGTATCCTCCTTTCCGTTTTAATGTACGCAGTTCGGGTACTCTCTCTTTCTTACCCTCAGCAGGTAGCTGTTAAAACAACCATGTCCCGTAAAGAACTGTGCAGTATAGTATCGCACCGCACCGCTCCCTTGTCAATCCAAGTTTTCATATTTGGGATCAGCCTTTTGGTCCATACACCATGGCCAGCTGTATCATATCTCTTCTGGCAACTGACAAAAACGCCTCTCTTTCGTCGCTTGTACCTTCGACGCCCTTTGTATAGAGTGCGCACCTCTTCGCAGATGGAAAATCAATTGGCGGGATACCAGCTGCCACCAGCAGTGCATTGGTCGACATCGTTATGTAAGCGCATACCACGCTACCTTCTCGTTATTAGCCATCTATATTTATTTTTCCTTGAAGCATTATTATTATTGTTGGATTTAATAGACATTATTGTCAGGGCTTGGGATAATCATCAAACTACATCCTTTATTTTTAATAGCCAAATGTAAATTTTATGGTTTCTCTGAATCATCAGTTGCTCTAATGAATGGTTTTTTGAGAAATATTTCATAAAGGGTTGCCATAGATGTCAACACTTCTCCCGCGGCTTTAATATCATCGGAAGTGTCTCATGGGTCGATTCTTGGGCCACTTCTTTTTATTTTATATATCTCCGATCTGGATAAGGTTGTTAAACGTTGCAATAGTCAGTTTTTTGCGGATGACTCGAAGTTATACGATAATTTTAATACTAACAATATAATAATTACTGAGGCTCAAATTAATGAAGACTTTAGATTTATCGACAAGGATGCAAAAATTAATGATCTTAGATTCAATCCAGAAAAATCAAAAGTAATTATATTCTCTACTCATATAAATAAAATAAATTAAGAAATATTCAACTATATCATTAAATGGTGAAATTTGTGGAATTTTAAAAAATCTAGGCATTTTATTCTGATGTGAACAATGTTACAAAAAGTTGTTTTTAGTACTTCGTGAACAAAGAAATTCTCAATTACAAAACTAAAAGAATTCTCTGTGAGTCATTAATTATTTAAAAAATTACATAATGCGACATTGTGTATCATTTGTTTTTAGATTCAGTATCTGTCAAGCAGTTGCAAAAAATTCAAAATTCATGTTTCAGATTAACCTGTAACCTGAACATCTATTACCACCTTACCTCCTCGTTCATAAAATTGGTTATCTATTAATAGTCTACTTAAATTTCATTCACTATGTTATATTCATAAGCTTTCACTTACCTCAATTTCCCTATTTTTGAAAGTTAAAATTTCGTGGTTCTATGCACTCAAGAGGTATTCGTTTTATTGATACGATAATAATGCCCCCTCACAAAACATTTATTACTAAATGTTTTACTTCTAATGCTACTATCATGTACAATGCTTCGCCCTCTGATACTAAAGCCTTAAATTTCGAAAATTTGAAAAAATATTTATAAAAAACCATTTTCAAGCAATCATTGACATGTTTTTCCCCCACTTCTGCTTAAAACAGATGCAGAAACATTCTATAAGTATCTATAATGTTATACTTTCATCCAATCTTGATTTATTTTACTCAATTAATCCAATTTTATGTTGAAACCTCGGCATTTTTAGTGGTATTGCTTTTATTGTTTATTTTGTGGATAGACATTTTACGGGATAATTGGTAGAATAGCTTATGCTAAACACCACCCAATAAAGATGTTTTATTATCAGGCAACCAAATAAATTCGTACGGCTTTTAGTAGAAAAATATAAATTTTTATTGAGAAACAATAAGACACTATTTATTCGTCGAAGTAATTACAATCACATTCAATGACCTTTTGCCAACGTAGAACCAACTTTTGTATACCGGTATTGTAGAACTCCCTGGATTTGGAGTCAAAAAATTGGAGGACTATCAGTGCCTCATACAGCTGACAAGAGACAAAAAAAGATGATAATCACTGGGCGAAATGTCGGAAGAATATGGCGGGTGCGGAAACGTTTCCCAGCCGAGTTCGGAAATTTTTTTTCGGGTCACTTTTGCGGTATGAGGCTTGGCGTTATCCTGCAAGGATATCACTTTCTTCCGATTGATCAAAGAAGGCTGTTTCTGGATGAGTCCTACTTGTACTCGTTGTAGCTGCGCGCAATGCAAGTTAGCAGTGATGGTTGCATACAACAAAACCTTGTTTGGGTGCAAGGAAGCCTTGGGCGTGTGTGGTACCGAATCAGTAGGCGACAACCAATGATACGAACGCTTAGAGTTTGAATATCCATTTTTCGACGCAGGTTAATAACCGATTAAAAAATGGTTCATTAGCGTTGCGTGAAATGTTTGCTGAAAAAATGGTAAGATGACTTAATTTGTTATCATTTGTCAGTTCATGTGGGACCCATTTGCTTAACTTCCACGTCTTTCCTAGCTGATGAAGATGCAAACGAATAGTTTCAGGACTCACTCTGAACATCTCTGCAAGTTCTTGGCACGTTGTCCTGGAATTTGCGTCCAGAACCTGTCGAAGATCCTCGTTGTTCATGATTTCTTCTCTCCCTGAACGCGGTTCATCGCTCAAACTGAGATCTCCCGAAGAATATTGTTTGAACCACTTCTGTGCTGTTCGATCACTAACGGCATCATCTCCGAATGCGGAATAAATTTTTCGCGCCGCCGCTGCAGCTTTTGTACCAAGTTTGTACTCATTCGTCGCCATTTTCAACTATTAAAACTAGGTATGTAACAATTTTCAGCAACTTTCTATGTGTGTGAGAAAAGAAGGATTCATACTAAAATGACATCAGGTAACAAACAATCGCTACCGATCAACAACATCCATGGCAATGTGCGATATACAGCAACCGCACGAACTTATTTGGTTACATGATATTATTGTTATTATACAGGAGCTCCGTATATCATAATTGAGTTTGTCACCTCTGCCAAAATCCTGAGCTTCTCATTCCTGGAGCCTCCGTAAGATGGCATCACCTGTATCAAGGATGCACTACCTTATTTACCTTGTATGTTCAACCCCTTTCAGAGCTCTGTCAACCCATACACTTAACTGCATTTTGGGTCTGATTCACGGCATTATCAACCTTAACAGCTAATGAAGTAGGCTTCTGTCTGCCAGAAAGTACCACTACTGACGTCTTCTGAGGAGCTAATTTGAAGCCATTTTCTTCCACCCATATGGTAACTCTCGTGATTCCGCATGCCAAGAGTCCTTCAAGTGTATCCCAACTAGCAAAGTAGTGCTATAATAATTTGGTAAAAGAACTCTTCAGCCGTAAAAGCTCTCCATTGTTGTTGCCTGAACACCAAAATGTTGGCTTAATGTTGTGTGGAATGCAAATTTGCTTTCTGCAGCACATTTACTCTAAAATGAGGGGTTTAAAATATTCTTATAGCATACAACACCTTCAGGACGAATTTTGAACTGTTGCATAAACCTTTATACAATTAGTTTATATGGCTTACGTGCGCGGTAGTCAAAATGGTTGTTGTGGCATCCATGGAATCGTTTATACAACAAACCCGAGCCTTGTTGTTTTGGTTTGCAAATTTACTACTTTCATTACCAAATTACTCCCAATGGAAGCACTTATCCAACTGTCGTTTAATAACTATTAAAGGCTTCAACAATATTTCAACTTTTATAGTACAAAATTGCTGTGCTCGGCATACATTTGTTGCTAAATATGTTGATATACAACTTCACCATAACCTAACTTTCTGCTGTCATCTTTTAGTTAAAATGCCATAACCAGTATTTTAAGACAAACGACGCATGCATATTGGTTTAAAAGGTTTTGTCAACTGTTCAAACAGACGATATAGATCTGGTACAAATTCTGGCTACATCATTCGTATTTCATTTCTATTTCATTTCAGAGATTTGTCAAATTGTTGTATAACATCTGCAGACAACACTAAAATATTCTAATGAACCAAATGACTGAAGTGTCTTATTAGGTGTGCCCATTCCGCGTGTAGGCGAGACCGGGGCTGGTTGTCACAATTGTTAAATCTCAGCAGCTCCGCAAGATGTAGTTGCCTGGCGCACTACACATCGTTTCCGCGTCCGCGCAGAACAATTGTATTCAGTACGAAAGTTGTCGTTGGTAGATTAAGGTCGCACGCACAAAAATGAACAAATCGCCTAAACTGAGTAAATTTTTCGTTTGCCACATAATTTGTGTTTTCAATACTACATTTGATAATAAAAAGAACTGTTGAACTTATTTTGCTCTTCAATAATCCGAATACGACTTAACGTAAGTATTGACTTTGAATTTGTGAATTTAGTGACGCTATCTAACCTTAAAAATTAATTATCTAGTGGGGCAGGTTGTCTCAAACTAGCGTGTCACATGTGACAACCAGCCCCCACACTAGACGATTAGCTTTGCACATCATTCTACGTACCTATATGTATACAATGTATTTTTTTAATATTTTCAGGTTACATAAGCATGGTTCGAAATATCAAAAGGAATACTGAGAAGAGCAAAGCGCCGCCTGACGTACTTTTAAGAGCTGCTAGGTTAGTAAGATTAGGATCCTCAATAAGAAAAGCGGCAGCTGACTTCAATGTAAATTACCGTACTTTAGCAAGATACTGTGAGAAAATTCCAGAATCTGAATTACTTGATGATCGAGTTGTTGCGCCGTCAATTTCAGTTGGCTACGTCAAAAATCATTTAGTATTTGAACCTGAACTTGAAAATCATCTAGTGGAATATGTACTCAAAGCATCTGATATTTATTTTGGATTATCAACCAAGCAAGTACGTGGACTGGCATATGAATTTGCTAATGCTATTTCCTTGAAAATGCCGGAAAATTGGAAGCTCCATAAAATAGCTGGTCCTGACTGGTTTAGTGCGCTTCTGAAACGTCGTTCTGTACTATCTATTAGCAAACTGGGAGCAACTAGTTTAGCAAGAGCCAGTAGTTTCAATAAAACGGACGTCAACGCATTTTTTGATAATTTAGCTTCAGTTATGGAAAAATATAAATTTGAGCCTCACGAAATCTGGAACATGACGAACCTGGGATTACAACTGTCCAAAGACCCGACCGCGTTGTTGCCAGAAGAGGAGGTTTTAAATAATCCCGGTAAGACCATGACTATATACGACAAACCTTCAGTGGTCTCTATTGCATACCCCCTCGCATTTATTCCCAAAAATATACAGTCTGGATTTCGGGTGTCGGGTGTGTTTCCTTACAACAGAGATATTTTCACTGATTATGACTTTCTTGCGAACTCTGTCACTGATAGGCCAGATCCGGGTATCTTGAACGAAGCAATAACTGGACCAAACGAAAAGGAAGTTGGTCCAAATCCAACCATCTTGAACGAAGATGAAACTGCAAGTCTGATAAATATTAACACGCAGGAAGCAATAGATAATATACGGGACGGCAAAACATCTAATCAAACTAGTTTTGATGATCCCTGCTGTAGTAGTTTAGTAAGACTGCATGCGGGAAATATAGTATTTCCAGAAAGTTTAAGACCTTATCCAAAGGCATTGGCAAGAAAAATGAATCGAGTTTCCCGTCGTAAACGAGGGACTGAAATACTCACTGACACTCCAGTAAAAGACGAATTAGAGAAAGAGAAAAATAAATGCTCGAACAAGAAAAAGAGGAACAGGGAAACAGTGAAAAGGGACGTTTTGATTCAGAAAAAGTCCTGTTCAGATAATGAAACTGATGGAGAAGAATGTTTTTGCTTGATTTGTCTTGAACCATTTTCTAACAGCGCGTCAAATGAAGAATGGGTGGAATGCTCATCGTGTAATGGTTGGTCTCAGGATGCGTGCACTGATGGACGCGAACTTTACATATGTCATAACTGCGATAGTGACTAATTATAAAAAAAACTCTTCTGCTTTTTTCTCATAAAGATTTGGTATCTAAATACCAACTCTTTATGTCTTATTTGTAATAATAAATATTTTTAAAATGATATAAATTATTAATGATCTAAAATACACGTGACAACCAACCCCAAGCAATGTGACATCCAGCCCCAGCAAGGGGCAAGTTGTCACATTTATTTCTGAATTTTGTAACATTTTAATTTAATATTGTGAATTATTTTACAGACTTATCGATTTTACATAGTGTTGCCAAAGGATAAACCATTTTAGTTATGCACCAAATATGTGCATATAATGCTTCAGATCGAATATTACTAGTTTAGCCAACAAGTTGCTCACAACGGAATCACTTATACAACTGTTGTTTAGTAACTGTTAAAGGCTGTACATATGCTAAATATGTTGGTATACAACTTCACCATAACCTAACTTTCTGCTGTCATATTTTTGTTGAAATGCCATAACCAATGTTTTAAGACAAACAACGCATGCATATTGGTTCAAAAGGTTTTATCAACTGTTCAAACAGTAGATATAGATCTGGTACAAATTCTGGGTAAATCATTCGATTCCGTCGATATTTCATTTCAGACATTTGTCAAATTGTTGTATAATAACCTGCAGGCAACACCAAAATATTCTAATAAACTAAAGACAACATGGACGATGCCATGATTATACACAACCACCCGCCATATTGGGCAAACATGTATTCCTTTATTTAATATTGAATAATTATGTTTCAGTTCGAAATTACAGACATAAAGTGATAAACATTAGTGTAATTGTGTCTAAATATAGGATTTGTGGAAGATTTAACGCAGATAAGTTAAATTTTCCATCTTAAAAATCTAGACATACTTTTGATCATTATTAAAATATGAATCAAATACGACGCCCGTAGAAATTGCGTAACTACTTTGCACGATAATCACAATAAAACTTGCTGCGCGATAGCCCTATATCACAGTGTAGACGTTTATCATAATATACCAATTCAGAATGGCCGATATGTAAGTAAACGAGATGACTGTAATGTGTTAGATAAATATTCTTCACTTCGACTATACAATACGTAAGAAATAGTTTGGTTGCAATAAAGTAGAATCACGTAACAGAATAGTTGTATAGTTGACAAAAACTGAATCTTGCACTGACGCAAATGTCCTATAGCGGCTGCAAGAGGCTTACACTTCTGTTGTATAACTGTTAGCTGCAGCCCTACAACGTCTTAAATCACTGAAGTGTCCTATTAGGTGTGGCCATTCCGCTTGTATAGCTGTTCTAAGATGGTTTTGCCAATGTTCTTACAGTATACAATGCTGTGTAAGGAATACTGTATAATCATTCTTGCTACTCTAATAGGAGTGATAACTGTTAGTTGGGCTGTAACCGAGGAACCCCATCATAGAACACGTTCCAAAGCGATGACCCTACGGCACTACCATGGCTACTTTCATCGTCTTTTACCATAAGTGCCAAGAAGTGGGCACTCTAACCTATGAACTTACAGAATTCCCCCCGTATACCCGTAACATATAACGACACCAACTTCATGCAGTCGACTTCGGTCAGTCGTCAGTGTTTACAACCAATAGGCTGTTCAAACAATGAGAGTTAATAAAAGAGTGATTTACTCTCGCCGGTCTCGCGACTCGACGTCCTGACGTTCGCCATATTGTTTTATCGCTATTATTTACGATACTAATAACTGTTAAATTTTCCAACTTAATTACGTGAACGTTCAGCCCAGCCTCTCCTCGTAAATTGTTAATTAGAACTCTGGGCACTGGAATAGGTGTAACTGCCAGTTATTCTGGGCGCCCTCCAGGTTAATTAGGTTTGCTCAGGCCTATAATTATATTTAAATATCCTTTGCGTCGGATAAAGAAGGGAGTCATGTAGCTCGTCTCTATTTGGAAGGCAATTGAGGCCTACTTAGGGAATTTTTTAATTTCATGTTCACGAAAGAAAATCACACTATCAAATTGCAATTGTTCCACAACATCGTAATATATACTAAGTGACATATAAATCCGAACACCCAGTTTAAATGGTTTTATTTTAATAAAAGTTGGTGAATGTATTTATCTTACTGTAAATAACAAGTGAAAAAATTTTCAGCCTTATCAGTTGGACATTCCGATTTTTATACTGCTTTTTTTTTAATTCACTAACGCTCTAAAAATGAATATTTCAGCCGCAGTAAAGAATCAACGTTGGCGGATTTTGGTTCTTGACATCCTTTACGATCGGTTCCGATGCCTAGAGTACGGAGACCTGTACGATTTCGTCAACTTAGTGAGTTTGATAGGGGGCCGTATAGTGGAACTTCGGGAAGCTGGACTTTCTTTTCCGGCAATTGCAGTTAGAGTGCAAAGAAGTGTAGACACTGTGGTTAGGTGTTGTCAGGCATGGCTTCGAGAAGGCCGTACGCAAAGAGCAAGGGGCACTGGACGCCGCCGTAGAACAACAGACCGTGAAGATCGCCGCCTAAGATTATTGGACTTAAGGGACCGTTTCTCCACTACCAGGTCCATTGCAAATGAATGGTTTGCAGAACACGGAAGACCTATTGGCATGCGAAGTGTTTACCGACGCATGAGAAGTTTTGGCTTGCTTTCATACCGGCCACACTGGGTCCTCTCTTTAACTCGAGAACACCGACGTAATCGCCTTGAGTGGTGCAGACAACGGTCACTCTGGGATCAGGAATGGAACAGTATTGTCTTTAGTGACGAGTCTCGATTTTGTTTAGGCATGCACGATGGTCATGCCAGGGTTAGAAGGCGACGTGGTGAAAGGAGGAATCCACAGTTTTTTGTTGAAAGACATGTTCATCATACTGTTGGAGTTATGGTTTGGGGTGCTATAGCTTATGGTTCCAGGTCACCTTTAATCTTCATCAGAGGTAACATGAACGCGCAGCGTTATATCCACGAGGTTCTAGAACCCCATCTTTTACCCTATCTTGACACCCTGGCAGATCCAACTTTCCAACAAGATAATGCCCGACCACATGTTGCAAGAGTCACAATAGACTTCTTTCAACATAATGATGTCATATTGTTACCATGGCCACCAAGATCTCCCGACTTATCCCCAATTGAGCACGTGTGGGATATGATGGGTAGGAGATTGCTCAATTTGCAACGTCCTCCTCAGACTCTAGAAGCACTTCGGGAGGAGTTGGTGGTTGCCTGGAATGAGATACCTCAGGAGGACATTGACCACCTGATCAGAAGCATGCCTAGGCGCGTTTTAGAATGCGTAGCACATCAGGGTGCATCCACACATTATTAAAGGCCAAAGGGCTTTAAAGCAGTGCAATCATTTTGAAATTTTTATCATTTACTTATTATGCTTCATTAAGTAGGTACTTATACAAAATTTTATTAAAATAAAACCATTTAAACTGGGTGTTCGGATTTATATGTTACTTAGTATACATGGTAGAGATTCATATTTAAAAAATAATAAAATTCAGGGCAATACTTGCTTAGTGTTTTTGTAACCTCAACACTAGCAAAAATTTATATAACTAAATAAGCGAACATCAAAATAGGTTTTAAAGGGTAAAAAGGCAGTACTTGTATCCGACAGAGCATAAAAGCAGTATAGTTTTTAAATGTACTGCTTTTTTACTTTTAAATTGATTTACGGCATTTATGCTAAAGACATGCAATATTTGGCAAGTGAAAAAAAAACATTTTTGTTAAATAACGTGAGCAGTGGTATATTTTGTAATTATAGGTAATAATAAACGAAATGCATTGGCGTCCAAAAAAACACTGGTGTACCAAATTAAAATAATTTCTTGTGACATGGACAAAACAAGGTGGTCATTATGTAAAACGTACCCAAAAAGCCGGAAATAGCATTTGATTTTTCACGGTTTTCTTGCTATAAGGCATCTTATTTGCTGCTTATACTGGTAAAATATAAGGATATGTGTGTAAGAGTACTAATAAACAATCGAATAAACATTAATCTCAGAATGTTGTTGATGTTTTATAGCGATATGTTGCTCCCGAAGTATCTCTTAACAATGTCCAGCAAAAATTAGCAAGCAAATTGACACTCAATTTGCCTTGATACCGTTTTGCTATAGCAGAAATGTCTTGGTGGAACCGTTCACCATGTTCATCATTACCGCACCTAAATTTTCCGGAAAAAAATCGAGATGAGAATCCAAAAAGCGAATTTTTAGAGATATGTTACATCCCATTCGTTTATAAGCATTAATTAGTCACTCACAATATCTCTATAATTGTTCGCCTTCACATTGCATAAAAAATTTGCAGTAATTGATTTAAAAGCATTCCAAGCTCGTAATCCAGTTTCATTTAGAGCACTGGCCAATACGTCAAAATATGCGCTCTTTAATTTTTGCCTCACTAAGTCTCGGAAATGTTTGTTTTAAATGCAGAAATCCTCTTCCCTTTCGATCTATAGCTTTCACAAAATTTTTCATCAGTCCCAACTTAATATGCAAGGGTGGAAGCAGGCACGTTTTTGGGATCAACTAGTGGTTCATGAGCGATGTTTTTGAGGCCCGGACTTAATACCTGACGTAGTGGCCACTCCTTCTGTTCATAATGAGGATCTCGCGCACGACTGTCCCATTCACAATTGAAACAACAATATTTCGTATATCCCAGTTGCATTCCAAGAAGATACATATGGCCCATCCATATTCATTATAACGGATATGCTCTAACAGAACTCGCATATTTTCACATGATTCCATGAACTGCGTGCGCCATAGGTAGAGATGGATATTTATTACCGTTGTGTACTAATGCCGCTTTTAAATTGAGCTTAGATGAATCAATGAACAGGCGCCAATCATTTGGATCATGTTTCTGTCCTAATGCGTCAAACAAATTGTAGACATCGGAGCAATATATCAACTCCCTTTTTTGACGGAAACAGTGTGTGAAGTCTTGTTGCCGTTTCCGATAAAAAGTAATGTTAACATCACCTTGGAGAAGATTCCTTTTCGCTTTCTGTACCATCACTTTCAGAATAGGTGGATCCGACCTTTTTCATCCAAAGACCAAGATTCTGGTGGAACTGAGAGAGAAAGTTTATCACTATACTTAACCCGCCGCAAAGCTGATGGTAAATTAAAATACTTAACAGTATGTTTCGATTTTGGTCCAATACCTTTAATATTTCTGAGGCAAATATAGCAATCAGTAGTATGGTCTCTCGGTTCTCTCCAAACCATTGGTACCTCAAAGGGCATATGATTGTCGCCTCTTAACCAACCTGTTAACAACGTTACACAAGTCTTACATCATATATGAGGGGCCTATAGTTTATCTTGTTCGCCAACTGTAATTCCAAAATAAAGTTCGTATGCTTTCAACAAAAGAGGAGTAAAAGTACGTTTTTGGGAAAAGTTAGCTCTCCGCACACATAACAAAAAAAATTTCGCACTATTTACACAAATTCTAGGCATTGTCCATAAAGCTAGTCTCGATCACAATAAACTAAAAACAACACACCGTTTTAACAAAAATTAACAGTACTCAGAACATCGCAGTACTCTTCAACAGAGAAAACGTAACTGATTCGGCTCCTATTAGTCTAGTAATAAACGCAATATGCTCTCTAAACATAGAGCTCGCATGTAATAAACAGGAATAGACAAGTCTTAACATTATATATGTGCGTCATCGCATCAACGCCGATAAATGCAGCATATGGGATGTTACGTATTGTAATTCATAAAAGTAGATGTTACCGAATACCTATGAGTGATAGAAAAATTCTGTTTTTAGATTTGATTTAAGGGTATCAAAATACATAAGATACACCCAAAAATTGTCATGTCACAAATCCTGTGTTTATCAGTGAAATTAGAAAAGCCGGTGAATTAACTTAAGTACAGAGAAGCTCAAGGGTAGTTAGAAGCCGTTGTCGCTGGTCGTTTCGCGAATTTTGTACCTTTCTACCGTTAACAAATCAAAGCGAACGATGCAACTTTCCTCAAAAGGTATTTGCCAAAATATTTACGACTGTCTTCATAATGAACGACCCGTAAGAGCATCATGAGGTTGCTGGGATTTTTTGAGATCAGAAAAACTAACAATTATGATCCGAAATCACACTTACATGACTCTCTATAAAGACATGTTCTGCAATATTCATTCACTTTAGCTCGGTAGTTATAATTATTTAGTTCCAAAAAATCCATAATTTTGAACTTGATTTTATCAGACCTCGATTCCTACACCCGAGAAGGGCAGTATATACCAGGATATTCAGCGATAACGGACAGTGGCTTTGTGCATATGAGTCTTTACAGGGTGACTTCGAAGTTGAGTCATTTATTTTAACAGTGTAGATCTGATCAAATGAAATGTTTTTTTCCTTTACCATTTTTCTGGCAAAATTAAAATAACAAAGTTATAGCCCTTTGGAAGTTTGAGTGCCGCCCTGTCTCAATAATAGTATTATGTGCTCCTGTTTGGCAAAAACGGACATAATCCGCCTTATCGGTTCATCGCATCGGAAACAAAAAAGCGAAAGAATTTGGAACGATGTTTTTACAATTTTATTCAGTTGTATTCAGTCAATGTGTCAGTCAAACGAAATAAAAAATGGCACATGTTTACGAAAATGCTGAACTTGACATGATTCTTATTTACGGGGGGGGGGGAGTCTTTACAAAATGCTGCCGCGGCAACACGGATTTATTTATTTAACCCCTCGTGCCTTTGTTAATGTAGTACAAAGGGCTCGTCAATCAGGTGACTTAAGACCTCGCAGGGGAGGGCATGCCGGTGCTCCAAGACCGCACGATCAAATACAGGTCCGCACTGAAATACCTGTCGGGAGGATACTTTATAAAACAAGGTAACATTTTTTTTAATGTTTTTTTTTATTTTTACACACATATTTTGGTTTATCTTCCTTCTATGATCATTATCTGAAAATTAATGACTCAACTTAAAAGTCACCCTGTATAAGGCTGCAAGAATCCTGAGAAGTTTAACATTGAGAAAAGCCAGACTAAACAATAAATAAACAATCGTGCAACAATTACTATAAGCAAGCATTAATCGTACCCTTATCGCACCCATCGGTGGTATCGAAATGTAAGCGCCAGTCGATCGATCGATATTCATTATCATGGGTAATAAATTTCCTCGGTGACATATGACCATATATCCATCACTATGCTGCCCACTGATTTGGATTCGACTTGTTTCATGCACTGTTTATAACTCGCGTTTGTGAAAACAAACAATGATTTATATTCATCAGGGCGACTTTTATATTCGCCTGATAAGCTAACTTTGGGCAATGTTGTACGTGCACTATCGCACTATCTACGTGGTTCAGATATATCTAAGGAACAAAAGCAGACAATTAAAATTATGTCAACCAATACATCTATGCACACCTTTGGCCACCTGCGAGGTAGTATTGTAAGAAATAAAATAAAAAGAAGTTCTTAAAAACAAGCGTTCATTTAGCTATTAATAAAGTGAACTAAAGTCCTGCTGGCAAAACGTACCATGCTTTTGTTTGAAAATATAAGATGAAGGAGCTTCATTGCCGTTTAAATCCAATCGGAAAAAATATTTTTAAATGTTTAATTGTTGACTTTATTAACAGCTAAATAAGAGCATGGTATTTTTTTTATTTTATTTGTTTTTAATTTTCAGTATTCATGATGTCAAATAACTAGTTTGGTAATTTCTTTACAATGCTCTTATATTTCACTAACAGGAATCCATAAAACTCCTTACTTTATCTGTATTATTACATTTTGATAGATATACAGGGTTTGTCCGGAAAGTAATAGGAATGAGTCGATTTAAAAAGGTTTATTGGGCCAATCGTTACAATTCTTTACAAACTTTCAAAATCGGCTCGTTCTGCGTCGATGCAGCGCTGCGAGCGCGATTTCCAAAGCATTGAAGGCGTCACGGAAGGCATTCTCGGGAATAGCCTTGAGAGCCGCGGTGTATGCTGCTTGGATCCCCTCTGTCGTCTCAAAATGCTTGCCTTTCATCGGCCTTTTCAGGAAACAAAAAAAGTCCGGGGGGGGGGGGCACATCTGGGCTGTAGGGCGGCTGCGGAAGCGTTGGGATGCCGGCCTTGGTCAGGCAGCTGTTCACACGAAAGGCAGTGTGAGCCGGGGCGTTGTCGTGGTGCAACTTCCAGTCGGCTGCGATGTCTTGTCGGACCCGTCTGACCCTTCGTTTGAGTCTCCTGAGCACTTCCACGTAAAACTTGGCGTTGACGGTTTGTCCAGGAAGATCAAATTCATGGTGGACGATGCCTTTGATGTCAAAAAAGACAATGAGCATCGTTTTCACTTTGGATTTGCTCATTCTTCCCTTTTTTGAGCGAGGAGACGCCGTCGTGTGCCACTCGGAAGATTGCCTCTTTGTCTCGGGATCATACTCAAAGATCCACGACTCGTCACCTGTGATTACCTTATTCAAAAATTGGGGGTCACTTTCACACATGTTCAAATTCTCTTGGCACACTTCCACTCGCCGCAATTTCTGGTCGTCAGTGAGCACTTTTGGGACCATCTTCGCGCACACCTTGCGCATGTTCAAATGCTGTGTCACAATGTCATGAACCACAGATTTTGGTAACTTTAACATCTGGGCAATTAAACGAATACTTATTCGATGGTCTGAGTTCAAAACTTTGCGTACACGAGTCACAATATCGGTGTTTGTCGAAGTCGAAGGTCTTCCAGCACGGTCTTCATCAGCGACCTCTTCCCGGCCCTCCAAAAAGGCCTGGTGCCACCGAAACACACCACTTCTTGCTAAAGAAACACCTGGGTAAGCCTGCTTGATCATAAAAAAGTCTCGTTCGCAGATTTACCGAGTTTCACACAGAATTTAATCGCGTAGCTCTGCTCTAACGAACGCTGCATTTTCGGCTTGCACCACTCACAGAAACATGTCGCGGGAAAATGCCTGTCCTGACTCTCCAAGTGCTCGGACACAACTGACCAGCCGCTCATTCGTTAGCTAGGAACGCCCTCTACCGAATCCAGTCGGTACGCGCACGCTCCGAAGTACAGTTATGGCGGAAGAAAATGAGTCCTATTACTTTCCGGACAAACCCTGTAAATCATATTTTGATGAAGCGATATTTTGCGGCGACCACTGTATGTAATTTAGAATTGTTATTTGCTTGTATTTCTCTCATTAAGGCCTTTTATTTGATACCCATATCATAGCGAGATCATGGAAGTTACAAATCGCCATACACGTAGAGGCAGCCGCCATGCGTATTACTGTAACAGCTGAAACTTATCCTGTACTTTTGATGTTGATATTCTACCATGTTTGTCTAGCCAAAGGAACCAATAGTCATGTACTGAAGAAGGCCACCGTTGTGACCGAAACGTTTACTACATTCATTTGATATCCATAGTGGAGGAGATGACTACGACAATTATAAATCGCCGTTTTCCGATAGCCGCCATATTGGATTGAGATTTGTTAGGCTTCTTTCATAAAACCATTCAATTTGATACCTATAGATATCATAGGGTTTACTATGGTAAAAAACGCCATCCTGAGGTGACCGCCATATTGAATTTAGCATGACATCACTTTAGCTGTTGTGTTTCTTTCATCGAGCCCTGTCATTTGATATCCATGTCATAGGGCAGGGCTGTCCAACTTAATGTGGCCCAAGGGCCACTTCAAAAGAAAAATGCAGTTTTTATGCATTATAAAATCTTTCTATACAACATTATTACAGAGTTAATGTAAGAATTGTGCATATTCGGTATGCCCGCGGGCCGTATGTTGGACAGCCCTGTCATAGGGTATGGAAATGATGGATCGCCATTTTGTAGAATCCGCCATATTGTTTATAAAATGGCGGCAATTGATTCAGTTTATATTGTCACGCGAACCAAACGCGTGTACAAAATTTCAGCTCAATTGGTTAAAGTTAACGGGTTCACCTCCAAGATATGTCCCTAACACTCTAATATACATACTAAAAAATAGGTCAAGTTAAATAAAAGCTGGTAAAAATAAGGTCAACCAGGTTGGCTGAGAAAAGTGTTCAAAAACAACGGGTACGTTACGTAAAAGGGAAATCCTCTACCCATTCACAATTTGTGAGAGACCTTAGAGTGAGAGTTTGCTTAGTAGAACAAACAGCATATCACAGCTCATCGTAATGAAGCATCTGATCACCACCACCAACAGACTTTATTTCTATTGATCGTTAATGACACGGTAATTAATGTTTTTCTTCCTTCTTATAATTTTGATCCTATATTTGGACATAATTATACGGGCAAACTTCCAGTCTTCATAAGAAATACCAAACATGCTCCATTCATACGGACTTTGCTCAGAGCTCTCCTCCATAATATCGTCGCGAGTTGGGCCTTTCAGACCATTCGGCCAGGCATCTACCTCCTATTTTAACCCTATTGAATTTCGTACACCCAGAACTGTACGGTATGACCGCTCCTTTATTTCTAAGTATTCTACTTACCTTGGGCAGTTTCAAAATCCGATAAACAACTTGCCTTTAAGCTACTTATAGCAATAGTGGTGACCCGGTATTTAGGTTGTGCATACGCGAATGCAACGTTATGAAACACAATATGGCCCAACAGAAGATCCTGAATAACCCCATGAGATCCACCGAGAAGGGAATCAAAGAAATCGAAGACGATTCACAGGAATCCCAACTAGCTAGGTTGAGTACATGCGCATGTGCATGTGCCACGCTTCTTGTCGCAATTTTAATTCAGTGTTGCCAATTCTACTGATTTTCTAGTACATCTAGCGATTTTATCTAAGGGAATCAAGGGGATCCGAGAATATCCAAGATTTTTTAAGAAGATCCAAGTACTTCCAAGGATATCCGCGAAGTCTGCGCTAAGCGGAGGACTCCAAACAAGTAATAGTTTTAGT